TCGACGTCAAAAGGTCTTCATAACTTTTACTATTTAATACCAATAAATCCAGTTTTTGACGCGCTTTAATTCGGTATAAAATACATTTGTGATATCATTGATACTTTAAGTTGTAGAGGGGGGCGTAATTGTTTTTTAACACCCTGTATATGTGGAGTACAAACTAACCATGAAAGATTGTCATAAGTTCGATCAACACATTCTTCCTCATTGACTGTTTCACCGGCATTAGCTATCAATGATAAAGCTAAACACAAAACAGAAATAAAAGTATCTTTTGACATAAAATTTTACTTGGTCTTCTAGTCAAAAAGCCAATCTCAACCTTGATGAACATTATATCATTTTTGACATAAGCATCTTTATTTTGATTGAATAGTTCAAGAGAAAACATTTTGAAATACCATAAGCAACATTTGCGTTGTTTTGTGGACTTTCAAAAGAGCCTGATTTCGTATCAGACCAAAAAGAAGTCGAATAATTATTATTTGTTGATAAATGATTAAGTAAAGTAAATTTTATTTTGAACTGGAGTGGTCAATGAAGAAAACCATCATAATTACCTTGCATTAATATAAAGTATAATGACACATGTGTACCTCTTGCCTTAGTATCTCCGTTTAAAAATAATCTCAAACAAATTTTATAACCTTTTGGAAATGAATAAAATGAAGAATAATAAATCGACTTTTGTTCACCAAATAGAGAATCACCTACCGAATACGAAAAAACACGAACATGTAAAATAAAGTTTTTAGCAAATTCCTTTCAGAATTAAATTGTGAAACACAATATAACTACTTTTCCTAATTATAGGCGAAATTTGTGTAAGTCTATTTATGCCAAGATATATTTCTAAAAAAATCTTTTTATTTATTTCCTCAAAACGAAGATCACAACGTAATTTATATATTATAATAAAACGTCATTGATGCATGATCTTTGATCTTATATCACTAGAGTCTTGCACAGCCGATAACTGCTTCTCGAAGTGTTTGTGAAGTATTTTATTACTAATTAATTAATTAAATGACTCCCATGTAAAAATTTATAGGGCCTAAATGCGTTTTCAAGCGCGTCTTAGATGCGTTTGAAACGCTGTAAGAACGCGTCTGAACGCATCTAAAATGAAACATCTGATGCGTCTGAACGCGTTTTTGAAACGCGTCTAGCCGCGTCTATAGAGTGAATGCGTTCAATCGCGTCCAAGAACCGAAGCGCGTTCAAGTGCGTTTAGAATCATGGTGAAACATCTGATGCGTTCGAATGCGTTCGAGAATCAAAACGCGTTCAGATGCGTTTAAAATCATGGTGAAACATCTGACGTATCAGAACGCGTCCTAGAATCCAAACGCGTCCGGATGCATTTAGAAGCATGTTGAAACATCTGACGCGTTCAATCGCGTCCGAGAACCAAAACGCGTTCAGATGCATCTTTTTCATTAGACGCGTCCAGATGTATCTTGTTCAATAGACGCGTTCGGTCGCGTCAATGGCTCAGATGCGTTCGAGCGCGTTTGAAGGAGTTTACAAAAAAAAAAGACATCTTGTTCTCGCAGATTCGCGCTGCGGTACTATCACTACCACGTGACAGTCAGCCCTTTCCTAAAGGCTTAATACAGAACAAGTGATTTTACTTACGATAAATGTGCCAAGTGCGATGATGAAGACTAGAACAGAAGAAGTATCGATTGAAGAGCAAGTAACTTACGTACGAGCTATATCAGCTCGTTGAAGTGTATTCTTGATAAAGATATCTTTATTATTACCTCTACTGATAATAAGAGAACGAAATGCAATCAATTATAAAATTATATAAGGATATTTTATTATATTATTTCTTTTTATAAATTCAAGTTACAGTTGAAAAACTGCAACAAATTGAACCAAGTATTATTTCAAATTATTTGATAATTTTGACTTACGCTTTTTTTATATATTTTTTCAACAATGAAATAAAAACGATTTTTAATAAATGATCTTGACTTTTTTGTATATTACATAAATAGAAAAGTTCAAAATTGTATATCTATATTAATGATGAAGTTTAATCTCAAATGAAGAAAAAAATCGAATGTTAGAAAATCAGATATTTAGCTATAGTCTGAAAAAAAAAGAGTTTAACATAAAAATTTGAATTTTCAGATGACCATAGTGTTTTTACAGTTTTATGATGTAACTGACATTGCAAAACTAAAAGAAAAAAAAAGACTACTGTTTAGAAAACAATAAGATGAAGATATCATGAGACTACAACACTGTAAGACAAACTTATATAATGAACTTCTAATAATATTATTTATAAATATCATAGATTTTATCTATTGTGATTATGAATTTGTATGCTTAAAGTAATAACTACATACTTGATATGAGATCAAACTAGACCACCAATATTATTAGGAATTTTTATTGTAACTTTAAGTGCACTAAATCAATAAGATAAAGCCAAGCTGTTAGAATTTTTTTCTATCATTTAAACATACATTAATAAGATATTTATTTTTCGTTTGCAAAAAGTAAATTAAACTTTATTTATATTCTCTGTTGTACATAATGTTTGCGATTGCCATTTTATTTGATTATAAAAATAAAATATGAATAATAATTTATTGATTTGATATATCTGATATTACAACAAGAATTATAACTACAGTTACGATGTAGTTTGATGTAGTATTGATTGTGTAATTATTATTCTAATTACACTAATTAATCTTTATTCTAAGTAGAATTTATGATATTAATTATATAAAGCATACTATAATAGGTCCTTCATATATATTAAATCGTGTGTTGCATTATTTTATTTTCACATGTCTTCATCTTTTTGCTTTTTTTTACTGTATAGTTTATTGTTCCACTAACGTTCAGAAAAAAAAGTTACATGATTTCATAAACCTTTTAGGAGATAATAACAGAAATAAAAGTTAGGATTATATGTTTACAGAGACTGTCTCTTCTTTTCTCACAGTACAGTTGACAAAAGTTACAACTTTTCTTTTTTTTCTTTACTCACATACGAGTTAGAAAAATCGAAGATATAGAGTGACAAGCACAACAACAAAGAAAAAAAATTAAGTAAAAAAAAATTAATTTAGAAAGTAGTATCCCAACGGTATATCAAACAATCTCCCTTTTTATATCTTTCAATTTACATTTTTTTTCCTTTATATGTCTTCATCTTATTGTTTCTCCAACTATAATCTTATTTGTCTTTTTTTCTTTTGATTGTGTAATATACCTCAAATTCTCCAAATCTGGAGATTAAAGTGTATCAGCGAGATCAGAATTTTTTTTCTTTCATGTAAACATATATAAAATGAATAAATTTGTAACATTTCATATTTTATTGTATGGAACTATATTAAACTTTAAAGATGTTAAATACTATATATGATGGTGGCTAAAATGCTAAACTGACTTAGATGAATGGATTTGGAGGTGAACCTAAGTAATTAAAATCATGACTTCTTCGAATATTCTCTATCAAAAACTCGATATAAAAAAATTCATAGAAAGAAAAATAAATAAATGTAATGTCTATCATTTCGTTAGTTCTTTCATGATTAAACAATTTTTGCTATTAAAAGCATCTTACATACGCTGAGATATGCTTAATAACATTAAAAAAAAATATCTTTCACAATATGCACATATCTAGTCGTTGCTATACTTATATCGTTTTCTTATTTTTATCACGTGTGCTTTTATTTTTTGAATTCAAAACATAGACATGCTTTTTGTCGTCAATTATAGGGTATATAATAACGAATCAATCTAGAAGTATAAAAAATAAAATCGATCATTTGGTTTGTTTGTGCAATTGCGATTCATTGATCAGAATGAATTAAAAACACTTTAAATTAAAAATTCGCTGATATTTTTAGATCATGCAAAGATCCAAGTCGATTGAAAGTATCGCGTCAGTAACATCATCATGTCGAGGGAGAGAAAAAAAAACTTCATCAACACATATGTTAATTCATAGTGAAGTTGACAATAAAATTTTGTTGTTGCCAGTATCACATTTGGTTAATAGTTCTGTAACACGTATTAAAATTAATGCTACAGCAACATTCAAAAAAGATATTAATGATCGAAAACAATATCGAGGAAAGATTATTCAGTTGGGTGAGTATTCAAGAATCTTACATATATTATTTTTCATTTTTCTGTTTTATAGGAACCAAGGAAATATGCATGGAGCAGCTTCAAGTTTTTGAAATAACGGCTGATGCGAACGAAGAAAGCACAACTGATGATGAAATTAATCAAATAAATAAAAATGAAGAATATCACAAAAAAAATTGTCCTAGTAAGTGTAAACAATAACACTGATACAGCTTAGTCAAACTTTAGAATGAAACATTATTCAAAGAAATACATAGTAAATTAAAAACACAGTACTTCTTGTTCCAATGGTTAAAAGTTTTTGTCGGAAAGTTTGCTTTATTATAGTTTTCATTTTTATGAAAAAGAATTTCATAACTTGAAACTTGACTAAGAAAGTCATGCTAAAACATTCATGTATGATACGTGCTATTAATGCTGGCGAACAAAGAATTTGAAATATATTGAGCTCTAAATCTGTGCCATAAAAATTTTAGTAGCTGCGATGAAACAAAAAAAACAATCTTTTACAAATAATTAAATGTCATATTCGAAAGAAAAATAGGTGATTTTATGAAAATCCCAGCTAATTTTTTATTTTTAACTAGATCTTGCAAAAATGTTGAGATTGCTGTTACTGCACACTAGTAGGATTCAAATGGAGTAATTTTCTGATTTTAGAAAAACAACAAACAGCATCGCTTGGCGAATGCGAATACAACAGAACAAGCTCCGATTCAAGTATTTCGGTTAGTTCCAAAAATCAAACAACAAATATTATGAAAAAGAAGCATAATATGAAATCAAAACTTGTTCAAATCGATGAAGGAGGTAAGTCAAACAACATTATATAAATTGAGTAGTTTTGTATTTGACTCTGTTCATTAGCTGATGAATCAAGTGCCGATGAAGATCGAGTATTTTGTAATGCAACAAATGATTCATCAAATGATAAAATGCCGTCAACAAAATCTATTCATAAGTCTTTATCAATAAAATCTAAAAATAACACAAAAGCTTCTTCAATGAATGGTAAATACATCTTAGTTACAAGCTCGCTTAATTTTGATTTATTTTATAGCATTTCAAACTGAACATCGAAATGAATCATCACAATCTTCGAATAGTCAAATAATTATCAATACTCAACGTCGAAGTATCGACAATGATCAAAATGATGCTACAGTAATCGATAGTTCGAGCTCAGGTTTTTAGGACTATTCATAATGTTAGTGTGATTGCGAATATTTGGTTCATTTCATAGGACAACAAGAAAGATTATTTGATTTAAGCAACACCGAACTATTGTCTCGATACGAATATCTGTCAAAAAAATGTAATGAGCTTCAAAAAGATAATGCTGATTTATCACGTGAATGTGATCGTATGACAAAGGAGATTCAAATGTTGAAAAGAACAACGATGCGTAAGTGTATAGTTTTTTACTTCTATCTTTTTAGTTTTATTAGAAAGCGTAGAATAGAAAAGATGTTAGAAAAATATCTTGCCATATATGACTAGATCTTCATGATCAACTCTAAAAAGCCAGCATCAATACAACGTGACGTGAAATAACTTTGAATATTTCGATACTCCCACACATAAATGAAATATGATTAATAATAGCCAGATATGAAGCATTAATGTGTTATTCATTTTGAAGACTAGAAAAAAAAAGGAATAACCAAAGAGTGTTCAAACGATATCGAAACAATAATAATTGTATAGAACGTACTGTATTATGAGCTACTCATGTTCTATTTACGAATAATAACATGCTCTTCAAAAATATTAATGCTAGCTGAAAAAACTTTTATGAATAAGATAAAGTTAGTTTTTACAAATTCTGAAGAGAACATTTTAAACTTCTCAGCAACATATGAATATTTTTTTTATTAAACATAAACATTATTAAAACTTAGGCAAATTTTTAGCCATACCTGATGCCGCAGGACGTCAGTGGTTTATCAATATGGGAAAGTATTTTGCCAATAAAGCACCCGAATCAGATATTTCAAAATATGCAACTGCTTTGGATGTAGATCGACGAGATCTAATTGATTGTATAGAAGATACAACATCAAATACAGCCCGACAAGTAATTCGACTTTTATATTCATCAAATCAATTGTTAACTATGAAAGGAACACAAGTACCGAAAGCTACACGATCAGTAATTAAAGGTAGCCAGATTTTTTTTATTGATAACAAAAGATTTACACTAATATTTTTTCTTTGAATAGAATTTGCTGAATCACAAAAAGGTCCGATATCAAAACGCCAATTTAATGAAGCTATTAATGGTGTATTTCGATCAACAAAATGTGAAGTCAAGAGAAAAAAGAAGAGAGAAGGTGACTTAATAGCATCAGAAAGTAACAACAACGTTGGCAAACACATCATCTGTCAGAATAAAAGCTATAAAAATTCAAAACAAATGATGAATAAGCATCAACATTCAACATCAACTGATTTTAATTCCAATGAAGAAAATCATAATGATGAAGAAGATTCAACAGATAATTAATGACAAGAGATTTTTTTCTTAGATGTTCTTTCTTTTTAAATGATCTATTCTCTTATATACACTGATAGCGAAGATTATATTTAGACTAGAACTTATGATAAATCTTTAAGTTGCATGCAATTGTAGATGTTCTCTAGAACCACATTATGGCGTCGCAAAAAGCGACTAAAAATTTTTTTGAAAGAAATGATAGCAAGAAATGTTTCATTATTCAATGAAAAGTATTTTATTAATTGTATTAGGTCACTTACAAAGTATGATCTCTATAATTTAGCTTGCTCGATTTGACATTGCCAAATCTTTCGAATAGTAATCCTGATGAAATCTTTAATCAGGTACAACATTTAAACAATTTCGAAAATAAATCTTATTTCTCCTCTTAGAGTTATCATTCTGATGTGTCAACAGTGGATAATGGATCACAGGATGTATCAGGCATATATGAAGATCAAATGTGGCTTGAAGAATATGTGGATAATGATCCTTGGAAAAATGTAGAAATTGAACCAATGTTTCAATATCCTGTTGTGGAGAATGACTTTTTATCTAACGAAATTAGTCAGTAAGTCTTAATAATATATTTTTTTTCTGCATTGGACTATAATACATTTGTTATATGCATAGGACTCCTCCAGAAAAAGATATTGCTGCAGCGCTTGTTTTATTAAAGGTATAGATATCTTTAGAAGAGAAATGCAATGATATTTGTAACACTTATATCAAAGATGCCCTTTAGCTATATAAATCTGAAAATAATATGTACAAGGAACTCGTGGAATGTAATCTTGATTTTTATTTGAACTGAAAATAGTTTTTATTCAAGAAACATAAATAAAAGCTGAGTACTTTTGAAGGAGAAAAAGAATCTGTATGACTGATTTCAATCGTTTTATTGTAAAGTAAGATGTATTCTAACGTTCGTCACGTATTCTATAATAGAACCGAAGTATTCATTCTCTGTATTTTGAATAGTTAGAATGAAAAAAATTTATTGATAAACTCATACAGACACTTGATCATCGCTTATTCTTTATTATTATAAAATTTAGTTTATATTTGTCTGAATTATATGAATCATAATTATCTTCAAAGAAACTTTGTTTATACAGCTTGAAAATATCAATATTGGAAACTTAATACAACTCTTATTGACATTCTCAGAAAGAGAATTGCCAAACTGTCTGTCAAGTCCTTAACAGGAGTAGAAATAAACTTATAACTTTATAAATCAACACTTGTTGTATAATCTATTTGCCAAAAAAACTATTATTCAGATGAGAGTTGAAAATAGTAAGTAATGGTGAAGCTTTTCCTAAGATGTCTTTGCTACTGTAGAGAAACATTAAGAATTTAATCATTATAAGACCAGATATTATAATTTCATTTTCTAAAGGTTTTGCATAAATTTTACTTTAGTTTTATTCTGAGAACATGTTTAATACTAAAAATATCGTTTATTTTTGTAACAGGTACGTCATAGAATATCAACTAAGGGTATTAATGATTTATGCAAACTATTAAAGCTGTTGAAAATGCCAAATGTTCCGAGAAGTTTTTATCGGATTAAACGTCTATTACTACCAAATCCTTCTGCACCAACTTCTGCATTCGTTACTTACATTTGTCCAGTTTGTTGTGAAGCAACAACATCATTGCATCACTGCAGCAACAAGCATTGTACAGAACATAAACGTTTTCATGCACCACCTTTGTATTATTTACGAATGCCAATTCTTCAACAATTACGAGAAATTATTGATCATGCACCACCATTAAATTTTGAGCAACAGCAAGAAAAACTTACTTCAGATATTGATCTAATAAATGACATATATGATGCAGAAGCCTACCAACATATAATAAAGAAACAGGCAGGAAAAAATTTTTTGACTCTGATAATGAACGTAGACGGTATTCAAGTTGCTAAAAACTCTAATTTATCTCTTTGGATATTCACTTTTATTATTAACGAAATCAAACGAAGTGAACGCTTTAAGCTAAAAAACATCATTATAGGTGGTATTGTATCGGCTGTGTCGAAACCCGATCGTCAGCAGATGCAAGCATTTTTGTCACCCATTGTTAGAGAACTTCTTGTATTGGAACAAGGCGAAACTTTTGAAGTGAAATGTCTAAATGAAAACTCACACTTGCATCTGAAAACATTTTTAATTGCATCGTGCTGCGATAAACCGGCACAAAGTTTAGTTCAAGGAATAAGTGAACCTATTGGGGCCTTTGGTTGTGGGCGTTGCGAGCTGCAAGGTAAAATTTCTATGTATTCATAATTTTCTTTTGTTAATGAATCTTATTGCTATTTTAGGTGAAACAGTGGCTGTCAAAAAGAATTCACGAAAAAAAATTCGAGTTTTTCCTCTTATTCCTGATCATCAAGAACAACCTCGTTTACGTACAAATAAAACTTACGATATATTTATGAAGGTTTACGCACAAGAACGTTTGCTAAATCATGTTGAGCTTCGTGATCGTTTACGAGGTCATATTAGTCCTTGTGTTCTTCGAGATTTAACTTACTTCGATGTTGGAACTAGCTTTTTATCAGATTCGTTACACAACGTATATCATGGTGTGATGGTAAGAGACCTTTGCATTGTTTTTCTGCGTGACAAGGAAAAATTTATCCAAAAATAATGCCCAAAGATTGATGATATAAATCAATAACTGCATTTTTGTTCTGCTAGCATAGCGTTGCCTTTCTATTCATATCGATTCAATTGAAAGCAATCAAATCCTTAAACTACTTTTGAGAATATTTAAAATGCAAGAAATGTAAAAAAACTCAATAGAAATTAGCTCTATAGAATGAGAGCTGTACATGTTACAAAAAAAAGCGTAAGTTACGTTTCTGTAGAAGAAGGCTAAATTTATATAGGACTTATATTTATAGATTTTCGTGTTTTGAGTTCTAATAGAATTTAAAATAAATCACTGATAACTTTTAAACATAAAAACACATGTCAACGTTCATGTAAAGTTGCAATGTAGACAACAACTCTACAATATTCTATCGACTCATATCTCTACCATACAATTATGAGTTTTGCATCAATGATTTATTTCCACGTAATATCAATACTGTATTCGTTTAAGTCTTCCCTTATGTATTTTACATGATTGTTAAGCAAATAAATTAATGAAAATAAGTCTCAAATTTATTTTTTCGAATGTTTGGACGGTAGTGTCGAAATTTGTGTTATAAGATACAAAAGAAAATAAAAATGCATGTACTCATTTCATTAAATTTCCTCACTCCATTGAAGACCATTAGTTGAATATAAAAAAGTTCTTACTTTAAACTTTTTCTTTTTTTTTCTATTGTAGACTAGAAGTATTAGACTAATATCTGAATCCTTTTTGTTTAGAAACGCTTATTTCGTCTTTGGTTTAATAAAAAATATAGAAAACAACCATGGAGTATTTGTTCTAAGTTAAATGTAGTTGATCGTTATTTATCTTCAATAAATTATCCATCTTTTCCAAATCTTTATAGAGAAAAAAAATCAAAGTTTAAAAAGCACAAGAACAAAATACCAAGGTTACCCAGTATCATTAATAATATTAGAATATAACTGAATCTTTTTTCTCCTAAAAAATCCGGATAGCTTTATCTGAATGCGAAAAACTTTTATTGATAAAATAGATGGTGGCTCTAATTTTTCTTCTAACAAAATTCAGTAAAATTAAAACGTGCTTGCATGTCACAAGATTTACAAGCTCTAAGAATACATTCAAAAAGTGATTAATACTTTCATTCCAATAATTACACACACAAAATATCTACCGGTTCAATAAAGCAATGTGCATCACCCAATGTAAGTTGCTTATGTTTTGTGAAGATGACTCGAATTTTCGACAAATCACGTAGAAAAGATACATATGTTCATACATCTAAGATACTTCTGCACACGATTATACGTTTACCATCCGTCAATCACGTTTTAACTATTACAACTGTGAAACTTGTTCCTGTTGCAGGTGCGTCTAGATGCGATTATCAATTCGAACGCATATGGATGCGTTTTTGAAACGCGAATAAACGCGATCAGTGCTTCAAATGCGTTTAGTAGCGTTTTGTTTTAAAAAACAAGTAAACGCGTTTTGATTTTGGATGCGTCTAAACGCGATCATTGCTACAAACGCATTCAGACGCATCTATGAAACGCGTCTAAGCGCGAGTATAGGTACAAGTGCGTTCAGACGCGTTTCGTAGATGCGTCTGAACGCGTTGCATCTGAGGTTTTAACCGTAACAGCGTCCGAACGCGTTTATAAACGCGTTTAAACGCGCGTAGTCTGCGTTTGGCTTTCACATGGGATGTTTAACTGCTCATTATTATTAAACACTTTCATCATAATCGTTACTCATTTGAGCTTCTATCTATTTCATTATTAATACACTTTTCATTAGAGTCTATTCGCGCTTCATTAGT